CTCCTCGGGAGGAAGGCTCTCGCTTCGGCGGCACGACCGTCGTGAGTTCCTCTGCCTTCCCCCCCCAACAGACACACACCCCGTTTGCTGGTCGGGGAAAGCGGCGTCTTCTGTGGGGGGGGGAACCACCCCATTTTCCTTGCTTTATTAATTTATTTATTATTTTGTGTCCCGGTAGGGCGGCCCGGTGAAGTTAACTCTGCCTGGGGGGGGAATGGGGGCCTGGGAGTAACGGCCCTGCGTTACAGGCTTCCGTGTAACGGCCCCTCCCTGCTCCCGTTTCCTTTCTCGCTTGCATTCAGTCTGGTATGAGGGGGTTGATCAGAGGGGAGCACTTTTAAGAGATCTGGGGGTGCTTATTTCGCTTTTCTCTTCAGACTTACTTCTGGGAAGACCCACATATTTATTATTTATTTATTTATTTATTTATGATCACATAGAATTACACTTTTTTTTTAAATACACTTTATATGAGCAGGGAGTAGGAATATAGGGTTCTTTTAAACTCACCTACCGGGGTTCTTGGCCTTCTGTTTATCTCATTTATAACTGCTGGGATCAGCTCTCTGAATTTTTACCACCATTCCCTCCAGAGAAATTGTAACTTTGAAACCCCCCAGATTCTCCTATTAGCACCCCAGGGTGCTGTGTTTTTAACCACAAAGGCTTTGCATCCTTTGCATGTGTTTTTAACCGCAAAGGGTTTGCCTCCTTTGCATCACGAAATCGTTCGCCTGTTCCCTTTCTGACCCATTTTGTCCATCACGTTATTATAACCCTGTTTCGACAGGAAACTTTGCCAAGGTTAATCTAATCGGGAAAAAAAAATTCTGTTTCTAGATTGAAAAAGAGCAAACCAGGACAGCGATGAAGGAGGAAAACTTTGCAGACTCACAGCTGGGAGGAGCGATCGGTGCAGGAAAAGCCACCAGCCTTCTTCAGCCTAAATCTGTAGTGGAGAGATCAGAATGGAGGAGGTTGCAAGAGGACCGAGGAGGAGAAGGAGGCAGAGGGATGCGAGATCTTTGGGAAACCCAGTGGCAGGAGTTCCTGAAGAACCTACAGCCCATTGATGCAGGAAGGGGAGACTTGGCTGGATCCGAGGTTGCCCCGTGGGATGATGCCAAGGCCTTCCTGGCCTCCTTCGAGCAAGTGGCTAAAGCCTGCCGGTGGCCCATAGGGGAATGGGTGGCCCGGCTCTTGCCAGCACTGAGTGGAGAAGCGGAGGAGGCCTTTCGAAGCCTGGACGCCCAAGACAAAGAAGATTATGGGAAAGTGAAGGCCGCCATCTTGCGAGGGGATGCCTTGAGGATGGAGAAGCAGCGCCAGCACTTCAGACACTTCTCCTGCCAGGTGGTGGAAGACCCCCGGAAGATTCACTGCCACCTCCAGGAGCTTTGCCACCGGTGGCTGAGGCCGGAGAGACGCAGCAAGGAGCAGATCCTGGAGCTGCTGATCCTGGAGCAGTTCCTGGCCAGCCTTCCCCCGGACCTCCAGGGCTGGATCCGAGGAAGTGGACCGCGCACGTGTTCCCAGGCTGTGGCCTTGGTGGAGGATATCCTGTTGAGCAGGCAAAGGGCTGAGACAAGAAAGTGGCAGGTGAGGCTTTATAATTTAGGTTTTTTTACAGAATTCAGAATGTTGACTGGAATGTTTAAAAAGTAGTAATGCTGTTTCTGAAATCCTCTGGACATTCTTAGCATCATTGACTAAACAGGATCCGGGACTGAGTAAAGGGTTGGACTTGATGCCCTTAGAGGCCCCTTCCGACTCAATTATTCTGTGATTCTATAAGAGCACTTTTAGTGCATAAGAAAAGTGCTTCATTCTCATTTGACTTTCACATATTATAACTGGCTTTGAACAATTATTGATGTTATTCTGTATTTTAAAATACCCTTTTATCTCCAGAATACTTCAGAGAGAGCAAATAATGTGAGTTGATTTTTTTAAATCCAACCTTATATAGCACATCTTTAGCATATCTTGTTATGTGTTTTTTAACAATGCATGGGAAGCTGGTGGGTAGAGAGTGGTAGGGCAATGGACTAGGACTCAGGAGACCTGAGTTTAAATTCCTGTGTGTGTAGAAATGGTAGATCCACTCCTTAAATGTCTCATATACATTGGAAACTCTATTCAAGGTATTAAGGTTGCTGGAGATCAGATTGTGCTTGATGAGATATATCCGTGGGATTAATATCTACTGATTCACTTATTCACGGTCCAAAAATATTAAAGATATTAAAAGAAAAAAATCCAGAAAAAAACTTTTTACGTGTATTACCAGAACCAGCCATTAGAGGGAACCAGAAACCATGCTATACACAGTATGTTTGTTAGTAAAGAATACATAGCAAGGTCTCTGGCGTCTCTAGTGACCAGTTCTTGTAATGCATGTAATTTTTTTTTCTGGTTTATTTTCTTTTTACTGTGCTATATATCTATACAGTGGTGCCTCGATTGACGACGTTAATTCGTTCCAGCAAAATCGCTGTAGAGTGAAAACGTCATCAAGTGAAATAAAAAGGACTGGAATGTTTAAAAAGTGGTAATGCCGTTTCTGAAATCCTCTGGACATTCTTATCATCATTGACTAAACAGGATCCAGGACTGAGTAGGGGGTTGGACTTGATGCCCTTAGAGGCCCCTTCCGACTCAATTATTCTGTGATTCTATAAGAGCACTTTTAGTGCATAAGAAAAGTGCTTCATTCTCATTTGACTTTCACATATTATAACTGGCTTTGAACAATTATTGATGTTATTCTGTATTTTAAAATACCCTTTTATCTCCAGAATACTTCAGAGAGAGCAAATAATGTGAGTTGATTTTTTTAAATCCAACCTTATATAGCACATCTTTAGCATATCTTGTTATGTGTTTTTTAACAATGCATGGGAAGCTGGTGGGTAGAGAGTGGTAGGGCAATGGACTAGGACTCAGGAGACCTGAATTTAAATTCCTGTGTGTGTGGAACTGGTAGGTCCACTCCTTAAATGTCTCATATACCTTGGAAACGCTATTCAAGGTGTTAAGGTTGCTGGAGGTCAGATGGTGCTTGATGAGATATATCCATGGGATTAATATCTACTGATTCACTTATTCACAGTCCAAAAATATTAAAGATATTAAAAGAAAAAAATCCAGAAAAAAACATTTTTTCATGTATTACCAGAACCAGCCATTAGAGGGAACCATGTGATATGTTTGTTAGTGAACAATATATAGCAAGGTCTCTGGCGCCTCCAGTGACCAGTTCTTGTAATGCATGTAATTTTTTTCTGGTTTATTTTCTTTTTACTGTGCTATATATCTATACAGTGGTGCCTCGATTGACGACGTTAATTCGTTCCAGCAAAATCGCTGTAGAGTGAAAACGTCATCAAGTGAAATAAAAAAACTCATTGACATGCATTGAAAACCGTTCAATGCGTTCCAGTGGGCTGAATACCTGCTCGTCCAGTGAAGATCCTCCATACAGCGGCCATTTTTGGTGCCTGTAAAGCGAGGAATCCGTCCTAGAAAACAGTGGGGGGCCATTTTCTTCAGCCGGTGGCCATTTTGAAACCCAATGATCAGCTGTTTGCTGATCGTCGTAAAGCGAAAATCAGTTCCCGAAGCAAGGAACCAATCGTCGTGCAGTGAAAAAAAAAACCCATTTAAAACATTGTTTTGCGGCCGCAAAAGGGATTGCAAAAACGTCAATGTAAAGCATATTCGTCGTAGAACAGGGTAATCGTCCAGCGGGGCATGACTGTATCTATATATAGTACTCATTATCCATGGGGGAGTTTGAGCCAGTCTACTGTACTCGCTGTTATCCATGGTTTTCATTATCCATGGGGGAGTTTGAGCCAGTCCCCAGTCGATCTGGGGTTCTTACAGTATATCATAACCAATGCAGAGAAACAGAGACTTTCAAATACTGTATCCATCTCAGAACCCTGCTTTAAAAAAATAATCCATCTAGAAAACTGATAGTTGGAAATTCTAATAAGAGTTCATGTTATAGAAAGAGTAATTAAAAATGATCATTTTTCAGTAATGATTAATAACCCTTTTATTCCTGGCTGGGGTAATTGGGCCCTGGCCAAATTAAGTTTCATGAGCTGAAAATTAATTATCATGTCGTATCAAGTCAATTCTGACTTGTGGTGCTTCATTTCAGGGTTTTCTAGGTAGAGAGTATTTGGAAGTGGTTTGCATTCCCTTCTGGGGAGCGCTCTGGGACGGTGTCACTTGCCCAAGGCCAAACAGGCTGGGAGGTAGGTGGTGGGGAATAAAACTTTGATCCTCTTGGCTTCACAGGTGGCAATTTTTTAATCTCACAGGGATATAGACTTTTCTGTTTCTTTACGGGCCCAGAGGTGGTAGAGCTCCCAAACTAGAAAATGTACATAAAAGTTACTTCCACACTATGACACAAATATGCCAAAAGTAATGGGTTCACACATTTTTGCTTGCAAATAAATAACAATGCTCATTAAGAAAGTGAGACAGACCAATGTCACTGTGACATTTTCCCTGCTCTTGTTTTGTCTTCAGTCAAGAATGAAGCAGCAAGATGACAACAGGTACCGTGTGTATGCTTTTCCCATATATCCTGAATTCTTATGACAGGGGATCAAAAACGAAGATTTAACTATTAAAGGAAAAAGTGCTTCTCTACAGCAGAATCAACACTGTACAACAAATAATATACTGTAGTACAATTTGAAGAAATACATTGTTAGATTTCCCCCTCTTGCTGAATGCAGTATATTTGTTCTAACTGATGAGTTCAGGTTGACTTGCTGAGCTATTACAATAAGATCCATCTCCTGAAATCTGTTTATGGGTGGTGTATGTTTTTGTTGAGCCTGGTTTGTCCCCTTTGTCCAATTCTGGACCATGAGAAGATCTTTATTCTTTGAAGGCATGAGAACATGTTCTCTGATATACAGCACAAAATGAGGATAGTTAAAGCAATTTTGATAAACTGTTATATTCCTAGGTTTCCACCTATCAGCTCCCGAAGACTAGCTGAAATTCTTCATTTTTTTCCTGCTTTTCTGCAGTAACTAACAACATGACACAAGGAGCACTGTGCTAAATAAACACCCAAGTCAGTTTTATAGAACACTCTCAAGTTTTTTGTTATAATGGTCTTTGGAAAGGCCCAGAATTGTTCCACATTTGTTTTATGTTTTCTGCAGCAGACTCAAGAAGTTTTTCTGGACGGAAATGCAGATTTATTTATTTATTTGATTCAAATTTCTGCCCCGAGATCCTCTTCTCTCTCTCTTCCTATGACGATCCCTCGGGGAAGAGAATCATTTATCCATAATTAGGATAAACAAAGTGAAACACTTACTTTATACAGAAAATATATATACAGTGGTGCCTCGCTTGACGATGTTAATTCATTCCAGCGAAATCGCTGTAGAGCGAAAACATTGGCGAGTGAAATAAAAAACCCATTGAAACGCATTGAAAACCATTCAGTGCGTTCCAATGGGCTGAATACCTGCTTGTCCAGTGAAGATCCTCCATACGGCGGCCATTTTCAGTGCCTGTAAAGTGAGGAATCCGTCCTAGAAAACAGAGGGGGGGCATTTTCTTCAGCTGTTTGCTGATTGTCGTAAAGCGAAAATCGGTTCCCAAAGCAGGGAACCGATCATCATTAAACGAAAAAACCCCATTTAAACCATTGGTTCTTAACCTTGGGTTACTCAGGAGTTTTGGACTGCAACTCCCAGCTGGGTACACATGTGTCATCTACCTGGGGAAGAGATGGCAGCAGAATACACTGTGGGAAGAAGGCTGACCGGCAGAGGCATTGTTTTGCTCTTGAGCAATGATCTGCTGGGTAACCCTAGGGGTCCTGTCATTCATATGGGTGTACCACCTACCTGGAGATTGTTGCAGACCATGTACTGTACACCCCTTCATGTCAATGGCATTGCCTGATGGCAGTGGCTTCTTTCAACAGGATAATACACCCTGCAAAAATTGTTCAGGAATGGTTTGAGGAGCATAACCAAAAGTTCAAGGTCTTTGCCTTGGCCTCCAAATTCCCCAGATGGCAATCCGATTGAACATGGTGCTTTGAATTGTACAAAAAACGAATGGGCCGGGTCAGCTGAAACCATCTTCTGCCAGTAGTAGATACCAATCATGCACGCCCCCCCCAATTCTGAGTTGAATCATTGTCCATGTTTCAGGGGCCAATGATGGAGGAGTCTTTGGGTTCCCATAATTCAAAGGAAGGTCCCATGAATGCTTCTGAAGCCAAGCCACATGGTGATTCGGAGATGAATGTGCCGGGTAAGGAATGAATTGAGTTCTCAAGGGTTCTGCTTTCTTTGCGTTTCTGTGGGAGGCTGTGGGTGACTGGGTAAAAAATCAGCCTGAGCTTCTGTACTGGCAAAGAGATTCGGACAGATGGAGATTGCTGCACTTGCTTACTTTACTTTACTGACTAAGCTTTCAAATAATAATGATGATGATGATGATGATGATGATGATGATACGCTTAATAATAGTAGAACTGCAGAGCTGGAAGGAACCCTATAGATGAACAAGTCTAGCCGCTGTCAAGGAGGCACAAGCGAGGAATCGAACTCCCAACCTCTCTCTGCCTGTGCAGCCAGATGCCTTAAACCACTGAGCTATCGAGCAGTTTCAAACCATTTCAAATAGACTGAACACATATGGCCAGCAAAAGCAGGACAAAATACTGAAATCTTAAAATTCGGCAATCTTGTTTTTTTAAAAAATTAAACATACTGTGTTTCCCCGAAAATAAGACAAGGTCTTATATTCATTTTTGCTCAGAACTGCATTAGGGCTTATTTTCAGGGCATGTTTCAGAAGATGCAAGAAAGGGCCTTTTTGGGGTGAATTCCCCCAGACTGGGGAGCTCCTTGCCTGAAGAGGTCTGGCTGACCACCTCTCAAATGTCCTTCTGGTGGCGTGAAAAAAAATCCTCCTTTTTTTAGTTGGGTCTTGGGCAACTCCCTGGTTGTCAAAGATAAATAAGGGCTTGATGAGATGCCTTGCACTGTTCTATTGATAAGGGATAATTGATTATTTAATTGAGTGGTTGTTAAAAGTTTTCTGCTTTTAATGTTGAAAACTGATTTGTGTTTTAAAAAGATTTATAGCATACCGGCCAAAATCCTGTTGACATCCAGTTACACTGCTAGAAGAGGATTTTCCCCATTTTTTAACCATACTTAAAAAAAAAAATAATAGTATATAAGCCATCTTTCTTGGAAAAAAGTGGAACTAGAAATCAAATGAATAAATAGCTCACTTTGATTGGAAATGCCCTAATTTGCCAGAGTTTCTCCTAATGGCTTTCTCTTTGCTTGGCCCCTCTTGAGTCGATATTAGCAAAATCATTAAGAAGGTGACCAAGAGCTGAGCTTGCTACATTAAAGACTGCCTTAGAATAGCTCAGCTGCCACTGAATATGCTAAGATTGGGGAAAACAAATGCTAGAAAGCAGATCCTGGAAAAGCATTCCTGAACAATAACCATTTTATATTTAGTGTATATATTTCTCTGTGTGATAATAACTATTTTATCATCAATATGTTTTTGTAAGATGAGGCAGTGGAATGGAAGCTAGGGGTCATAAGCCTTGAAACAAGGAAAGTTAGATCATCTTCTTGGTTTCTGGTGAGCTTTCATTATATATTGATGAGAAGAGGTTCTGTCTCTTATGCATGCTATTTTAAATGTAATACAGTACTTCTCTTTCTAATTAGTACCTTTCTGCTGTTTTAATTTTTTCTTCTTCTCATGTTTGTTTACTATTGTGTTGTATTATGTATTTTAGTTCATATGTTGTCTTGGAGATGGAAGCCAGGGATAAATTCTAAATGCTCACACTTGGAAGGTTAAAGAAGTGGGCTCACTTGACAGAGTTGCAGTATTAACAGGATTCACCAGGTGGCGCTAACCAAAAGAACTTCCCTGAGAGATGAAGACACCAAGCAATAAAGCAGTGTTGATAGCAGAATAGTTGTATTATTTACAGAATATATACATAAATGTACAGCTTAGTCCTTGTTTCCAGTCCCGAAGTCATACACAGCAGTTTCAACAGAGTTCAATGCATAAATCAGAGTCAAAATCCTTATAAACTAAAATCTTCCTTCCATCCATTGCAGGCGGTGGAATTAAATGCTCGAGTCACACCATTTCACTGCTTCCTCTTGAAGGACAGAGAACAGACCAAACTAAGGTGAAAGAGGTACGTGCCATTCCAGTGAGTCTGTTTGTGACATGAAACATTGGAGTTCTAGGAGAAGAATCAAGGTCACATGCATTGTCTAATGGAGAGACAGACCCAGGTCTGTGGCATGTGATTACGATAAAAAAGTGGAAGAAATAAAAATTGTATAAAAAGACAAAAATGTGTACCTTAAAGACTGATTTTTATATTTTTCAATGTAACTTGTCTGCAAAAGCTCAAATTGGAAAACATAAAAGTTAATCTTTAAGATACCAATCCCTTTTTTTGTTTTTTGTTTTTACTTTTTATTTCTATTTTGCGTTTAACTATAAAATAAATGGTATGTTCCAAGAAGAGATGTGTACCTCCACATCTTAGGAACACAGCAAAAAAATACTGGTTAATGTTGCAGTTGTGTGCAATTTTCCCCTTTGTTGCACAGAATATTTCCTGACGACCTCATAGTTCTAAAATTGTTGGTTCTGTGATACAGAGTTAAGATGTGATGTTTTACTTCCGCATCCTTTTTTTTTCTGTATCAGAATCTGATGGGGGTGTGTCTTCAGTGTTTTTTCCCTTCCTCCTGCTGGCAGGAACCAAGGGATCTCAGCGAAACTAGCCTATCTTTGCAAGTTGTCAAGCGGAGCTTGACGCAGCCGGGCAAAGGCACCATGGTGTGGACCGTCCTGCAGGAGGGTGGCAAGAACGAAGACCCTCTAGGTAAGGAAGCTTTCAGCTCAAGTCTAGTAGAGCCGGCGAATGTCAGCGGATTCATTGGCCCTTTTAAGAACTAAAGAGGGTTGACGGAGAAAAAGAGTGGGGCCCACTTTCAAATTCTGAGTACACCTCCAAACAAACAGGACGTGTATGGGTTTTTACTCCCGTTCCAGTTATTTTGACAGAAATAGAGACCAAAGTATATGTACTTCGCTGTGGAACCAGAGATTGGGAATTCGGCTCACCGCTGTGGTTCCTGGGAGTTCGTGCCCATCTCTATTACTGATGTCTCAGAGTTCTTTCTGACTCTGTAGAGCACTAACATCCCGCTACACAGTTTATAAAGTGATGTCCATGGGATCTGACAGAGGTGCTGCGTTACCAGACTACGCCAGGGGCGTAATGGTGAAGTGAACTGCCCAGAGATGAAACCAAACAGACACTGTTGTAGTGTTGAAAATATTATTTACAATAAAGTTGATATATACAGGGGTAAATACAGCTTCTCTTGGTCTTTATACAGTCCTGGTCATTCACAGTAGTTCCTCAGTTAGCAATGGTAAATTACAGTTTTCAGTAACCCAAGATTGTTACCAATGTAAATAGTCCAGCATCCACGAAGTCTTCTCCTCTTACCACGGAGATAGTCTTCTCCCAGGATCTTCTCCTTGCAATGCAGCAAGTCTTCATCCAACGATGCAGAATATACTGCTCTCAGCAACACGATCACCAGCAACACAACAGTACAACCACCCAAACTATCCAACAGCCCAACTACCCAAACTACCCAAACTACCCAACAGTTTGGCTCTGTAAGCTTGGCTAGTTTTATTCGTAGTTTCTCCAATCAAATTGGGTGTCCCACAGCTGCCTCAATTAACTCAGCTGTGCTCCTTTGTTACATGTTGCTCTCTAAATCTGATTCTGTAACAACTTATCCACTGAATTGCAATGAACAATTCCCTAGGTTGACTTTGAGACCTGTCAATCTCCTCCAATTGTTTATAGCAATTCTGTTACATACATTAAACAGATCCCGGAAAAGCATTCCTGAACAATAACCATTTTATATTTAGTGTATATATTTCTCTGTGTGATAATAACTATTTTATCATCAATATGTTTTTGTAAGATGAGGCAGTGGAATGGAAGCTAGGGGTCATAAGCCTTGAAACAAGGAAAGTTAGATCATCTTCTTGGTTTCTGGTGAGCTTTCATTATATATTGATGAGAAGAGGTTCTGTCTCTTATGCATGCTATTTTAAATGTAATACAGTACTTCTCTTTCTAATTAGTACCTTTCTGCTGTTTTAATTTTTTCTTCTCATGTTTGTTTACTGTTGTGTTGTATTATGTATTTTAGTTCATATGTTGTCTTGGAGACGGAAGCCAGGGATAAATTCTAAATGTTCACACTTGGAAGGTTAAAGAGGTGGGCTCACTTGACAGAGTTCCGGTATTACCAGGATTCACCAGGTGGCACTAACCAAAAGAACTTCCCTGAGAGATGAAGACACCAAGCAATAAAGCAGCGTTGATAGCAGAATAATTGTATTATTTACAGAATATATACATACATGTACAGCTTAGTCCTTGTTTCCAGTCCCGAAGTCATACACAGCAGTTTCAACAGAGTTCAATGCATAAATCAGAGTCAAAATCCTTATAAATTTGTTCAGCAGTCAAATACCATATGTTCAGTCCAGTAACCAGAGTTCTTCTAATATACAGCACAAAGACACGGCTTCTCCCAGGATATTCCAACACGACGACACCAACCCACACCACCACAGAGTGTATGTGCTAGGTCTGCTAGCTTTATCCCAGAGATGAAGACACCAAGCAATAAAGCAGTGTTGATAGCAGAATAGTTGTATTATTTACAGAATATATACATAAATGTACAGCTTAGTCCTTGTTTCCAGTCCCGAAGTCATACACAGCAGTTTCAACAGAGTTCAATGCATAAATCAGAGTCAAAATCCTTATAAACTAAAATCTTCCTTCCATCCATTGCAGGCGGTGGAATTAAATGCTCGAGTCACACCATTTCACTGCTTCCTCTTGAAGGACAGAGAACAAACCAAACTAAGGTGAAAGAGGTACGTGCCATTCCAGTGAGTCTGTTTGTGACATGAAACATTGGAGTTCTAGGAGAAGAATCAAGGTCACATGCATTGTCTAATGGAGAGACAGACCCAGGTCTGTGGCATGTGATTACGATAAAAAAGTAGAAGAAATAAAAATTGTATAAAGAGACAAAAATGTGTACCTTAAAGACTGATTTTTATATTTTTCAATGTAACTTGTCTGCAAAAGCTCACATTGGAAAACATAAAAGTTAATCTTTAAGATACCAATCCCTTTTTTTGTTTTTTGTTTTTACTTTTTATTTCTATTTTGCGTTTAACTATAAAACAAATGGTATGTTCCAAGAAGAGATGTGTACCTCCACATCTTAGGAACACAGCAAAAAAATACTGGTTAATGTTGCAGTTATGTGCAATTTTCCCCTTTGTTGCACAGAATATTTCCTGACGACCTCATAGTTCTAAAATTGTTGGTTCTGTGATTCAGAGTTAAGATGTGATGTTTTACTTCCGCATCCTTTTTTTTTCTGTATCAGAATCTGATGGGGGTGTGTCTTCAGTGTTTTTTTTCCCTTCCTCCTGCTGGCAGGAAACAAGGGATCTCAGCGAAACTAGCCTGTCTTTGCAAGTTGTCAAGCGGAGCTTGACGCAGCCGGGCAAAGGCACCATGGTGTGGACCGTCCTGCAGGAGGGTGGCAAGAACGAAGACCCTCTAGGTAAGGAAGCTTTCAGCTCAAGTCTAGTAGAGCCGGCGAATGTCAGCGGATTCATTGGCCCTTTTAAGAACTAAAGAGGGTTGACGGAGAAAAAGAGTGGGGCCCACTTTCAAATTCTGAGTACACCTCCAAACAAACAGGACGTGTATGGGTTTTTACTCCCGTTCCAGTTATTTTGACAGAAATAGAGACCAAAGTATATGTACTTCGCTGTGGAGCTAGAGATTGGGAATTCGGCTCACCGCTGTGGTTCCTGGGAGTTCGTGCCCATCTCTATTACTGATGTCTCAGAGTTCTTCCTGACTCTGTAGAGCACTAACATCCCGCTACACAGTTTATAAAGTGATGTCCATGGGATCAAACCTCAGTTCCAGATAAGATAGCACTCCACATCCTGCCGTAGCTGACTCAGTGGCCAAAATCCTGTTGCTTAAAGTAGTAAATTGCAGTAGAGTAATGAGTCAAGTTCCAACGAATCAATGGAACTTATGCTAAATTAAGTTACAGTAAAAGTTGGTCCTTTGGAATATGTGGAACTTACGGGAGAGTTGACTCACCAAATCCCCATTGCTTCAGTGGAACTACTCCAGTATGGCTTACTACACTCAGCAGCAGGATTTTGGCCAGTGTCTCCAAACAAGGCTCTAGAACAAAATATGTTTGTTCCCTGTTGTGTCTGACAAGCGAAGCATATTTAACGGCAGACTGCCTTCTGATGCGGGAACAAAGCTGATCTCTGCAACTCACTTTTTTGTGATTGCTGGAATTCCCGTATTTCTAAAATGCCTCAACAGTGGAACGGTGGGATTTCCTGACGTGTGCAAAGGTTACCTGGTATACATAAAATGACATTGGCTTCCTTCATATAGCAAACAATTGTAGCTGTAGCACTATGGGGTGGTATATAAACGCGTAACAATGAACTCAAGCTACAGGTTTGGATTCCTACCTTGAGCAGGGATTGGACTCGATGGCCTTATAGGCCCAGCTTCAGTATTTTCATGGAATCATACAAGAGTGAGGTTGGAAGGGGCCTACAAGGCCATCCCCCCGCTCAAGGCAGGAATACAATCAAAGCAGATCTGCCAGGTGATTATCTAAGTTTTTCTTGAATGCCTCTAGTCTCAGAGCCCTCACCAACCCCCGAGGTCACTGGTTCCACTGTCATACTGCTCTAACAGTTAGAAAGTTTTTACTGATATTCAACTGAAATCTGGCTTCTTGAACTTGAGCCCATTGTGGTGTGTCCTGCAGTCTGGGAATTTTATGATTCTATATGCAAAAAAAGCCCAATGAAATGGAAAAAGCAGGTTGCGTCTTGGGGAAAAAAATGCCTCCAGAGCATGAACAAAAATGCCATTCTCTTCCCTCTGTAGATGTTGGAATGAGAATGCAGAGTAAGATGGCAGAATCTCAGTGTGGTGGAAATAAAGGAGATGTGCCCAGCCAGGCCCCACTGATAATCCCAAAGCATGTGCTGAGGATCGTCGAAATGCACAAGGACGGATTTTGGCCCAAAGACAAGCAGGGATATCAGCCAGCAGAGACCGGGGAAGAACATATGGAGCTCACCGAAGGTTTTTCAGCTGCTATTAATCAGTCTTCCAGAGTACTCATAAGGGATAAAAATCAATTCGTTTCCAGGTAGGGTAGAAAGTATCCCTCCCAACTTCAACTCGGTGTGAAAGATTCTGTGGAGGATTGTTTCAATTTTGCACGCCAGAGGACATCCTCTTACAAAATTCATAGTCTGATAAGCTCTCTCTGTGTGTGTATTAACAGTACAGTGGTGCCCTGCGAGACGCTTACCCCGCATGTCGTCAGAATTGCTTGACGATGACATTTTTGCGATCACTATTGCGATCGCAAAACAATGGTTCCAATGGGGGAAATCTGCTTTATGTTGATTAAGAGCCTGCTTCGCAAACCGTTTGTTTGCAAAATGATGTTTTTTCCGGCTCCGCAAAATGGCTTCCCTCCCTTCTTAAAATGGCTGCTTTTTGGATGGAAGGTTCGCATTCAGCGAATTAGAACAGCTGATTGGCAGTTCTCTATGGGCAATCTACGCTGGACAATGAGGTATTCCCCCCATTGGAATGCATTGACCGGTTTTCAGTGCATTCCAATGGGGATTTTTTTTCCCGCTTGACAACGATTTCTCTTAACAGTGATTTTGTTGGAACGCATTACTGTCGTCAAGCGGGGCACCATTGTATGTTCTATCTTGTAGTGTGGTTCACAATTAGTATGTTGACTCTGTTGAGAGATGCAGCTACAAAGTGAGAAACATATTTGTATGATATAGGTTGATGGATGATTCGTACGTGGATGCTGGTGATCGCATCCACGTACCGTCTGTTTCCTTAGGCAGTAACATTTGCACGTGGTATTTTGACTTGCATGCTCCTCTCCTGAAAATGCTTACATCCTGTTTTGGCTTACAGGATCCGTCGTGAGGAAGGGAATGAATCCACAGAGGAGGACTGGGCAGACAACCGACCAAGGAAGAAGAAGGGGAGGGGCCTTGCGTGGCAGCTGGACGAGACCCGGTGCCTCCTGGCCATCTGGGGCGAACAACGCGTGCAGGAGCAGCTGAGGTCCAGCCACCGCAACTTGGACACCTTCGTGGCCATCTCCAGGGCCATGAAACGCCGGGGGTTCAGGCGTTCCCCTCTCGAGTGCCGGTGCAAAACGAAATCCTTGCGCCGACTGTACAAAAACGCCGTGGAGCACAATTCCAAGCCGGGAAATAGTCCCCAAAGAATCCCATTTTACAGGGAACTGCGCAGGATCCTGGAAAGAGACCCCAGTGTGGACCCACCTAGATCGACTGACAGCCGTGACTCCCAAGGTGACACAACGGAGGAAAGTCCCCGACACGTTCCCCAACCGGCGGTTGTGGTGCCCATCCCTGTGGTGGATTCCTTGGCTGAAGACCCGCAAGGTAGGAGTATAAAGCTCAGGGTGCTTCAGTGGGGAGAAGTCAAGTATTAAGTGTGGGTTGAATCTACCGTTACCCTCTTTCCCCGAATATAAGCCCTAGTATGATTTTTCAGGATGCTTGTAATATAAGCCCTACCCCAAAAATAAGCCCTAGTTAAGTGAAACCCCGCCCTCCACCCTTGTGCAGCAACCCGAAGATCACATAACTGTATTTGAATAAATGTAGATTGTTGTCCATAAAAAAAATAAAATATCCCCTGAAAATAAGCCCTACTGCATTTTTGGAGCAAAAATTAATATAAGACCCTGTCTTATTTTCAGGGAAACACGGTATGTGTCTTTATTTTACATGCCTTGGTTTCCATGATCCTTTCATATAAAAAAGATACCAACTAGGTGGAGAGGTCAGGTCAAAGAGTCTGATGACTGAACATTTCTCTAAGAGCTACTGAACTTTATAGACCTCTAGGGGAAAAACAGAAGTGTGTGTATATCACAGCTGGCATTTATCCCATTTAGGGTTAATGCCAGGATGAAACCGGATAACCATTTCCAGTCATATCAGAATGCTTCTAGGTATCCAGGTAAAAGTTGCTTCGTTGTTACAATTATTCTAGGCAACATCGGCTTGTCTAATTCTAAAAGCTTTATTTATCTACATTGCTTCTATGTTCCATAGCATAAAAATATTTCAGAGTTGTGAAAAACATCCCAAAATCTTACAGCCATTGAAAAACGGTAGGCACAAACGTTGAAGCAGAAAACCATTTTTACATCTTGTGTATTCAGAGTTGTGGAAAACATCCCAAAATCTTACAGCTATGGAAAAACGGTAGGCACAAATGCTAAAGCAGAAAACCATTTTTACATCTTGTGTAAAGCTGCAAGTGTGATTGCTATAAAAATGCTTGCAGCTATGAGAAGTAGCAAACAAAAGTGCATTTGAATACAAAACGTAAGTTGGGAGCAGGACTTAAATCCTGTTATCACCATGCTTTAAAATGGCAACCGCATGTCTTCTAAAAATTCAGGAGCCTAAAGCCTAAACAATCATATTGAAAAGCAGAGAAGACAACTCTAAAATAAACCATTAAAAGTAAAAAGCATTGTAGTTTTAAGCAATTTTTAACCTGTAAGGGTATTACTAGACACACATAAAAATTATTCTAAGTGCTCACCCAGCCAAACTGGTTTGAATCTTTGGAGGAAAACCCATATTGCCTTTGTCTGTCCTGAGATGCTGTTGTGAGCTGTGCTGCTACGCGTTGCCTGATGTTCCTTGGTATGTGTTGTTGGTATCTGGTGCATGTGGTGCGGCATTTTCTTGTGTGTCTCTTTGCCTCCCTGACCCATTACGCCAATTGTAAAAAAAACTACCAAGAACCTGTTGGTACTGAAATTTCGAAAAGCCATGTCCAAGGATGTCACGTGTAATTTCAAGGCTGAATGTGGTTAAATAACCACCCATTCGTTATTTAATTAGAGTTGGTAGAAACATCCTATTTTTAAATGCATGTTCATATAGATGGGCAGTAGGACCCCTGTATCTGTGGGGGGATTGTTTCCAAGCCCCCCTCATAGATGCTGGAAAAATGTAGCCCTCTAGTAGCCAGTTCCGTTAACTTCTTGATTAAAAATATTTGGGGGGATTTTTCTTTTAATATATTCAAACCACGTATAAGTGAATCAGCAGATACTGATTCTGTGGATAAGGGGGTCCTACGGTGTTTACTCTTTTCATGAGGAATGGTTTTTCTGGACATGGAACCAGTTGCAACAGGAGTTATTTCAGATCCTGTCTCTTCCCCAAATATTGATTGAATGCAACATGTTGTGTTGTATTTTATATGTTGTGTGCTTCCCCCCCATGGGTACCCCAGGGTTATTTTCCCTATAATAGTTGTTCGTTCATATTCGTTGCTTGCACTTTTTGTTATTCCACACAAATGTGGCACAGGATTGCTTCGGCCCAAAATTTTCAGCAGAAAGAGGAGCGGTAAAAAGAGGTCACTGGTGTGTGGGCAAAATGGCTGCTTATTTATTCCACTGATTTATATACTGCCCCATTAGTGCAACGCACTAGCCTGGGCGGTTTACAACAGTAAATAAAAGCTTGTACTAATGAACTACAAATAAACAATAAAATTTAAAGCATTAAACCAAATAAAACAGAGATGGCCCCAGAGGCCATTCTCAGTCAGATGAGAGGCATAAAAATAAAATCAAACTGGGTCGTTGTGCAAGGCCTCCTAGAAAAGCAGTGTGTTTCAAGTTGCCTCCTAAATGCTCACAGGGAGGGGGGCCAGGCGTAGCTCCACTAAGAACTCGTTCCATGAAGTCGGTGCCTCCCTTTCGGGCCTCCCTTGGGTGGGCCACCCCGAGGAGCATAGCCCGGGAAGAGCTGGTGGGTCAGGCAGGTGACTTTGGGGAGACCTCGCTACGACAAGTAACATGGTCCCAAACTGTGAAGGGCTTTATTTCTCACCTCTCTAGGTATTGGGATGGGAAATCAGTTCGAGGTGACGCTATCCCAGTTTGGAGGAAGTCAGGAAGAAGATCTGCCGGGGACTGTGCCACAGCTAAGCCAAAGGAACGCCCTGAAGATAGTTGAGATACGCAAGGAAGGAGGTCGGTCCAGAAAGGAGCAGGGAGGTCACCCGGCGGAGAGAGAGAAGGAATTTATAGAGCTCGCGGAAGATTTTTCTACAGCTTTTAATCAGTCTTCCAGAATACACATAGGGGATAAAAGTCCACTGGTTTCCAGGTAGGGTGGAAAAGGTCGTTATCCACGTGAACTCAGTGGGATAATAGATGCCACAGAGGTCACATGTCCAAGGTCACATGTCAAATGGAAAAACCTTCCAGCAAAAGTCCGGGAGCTGAGCCAGCTGTGCCCTCCCATGCCTGTCCGTTCTGCAGAGACAACAGGCCCAGCTCTCTGCACATGCGCACACCTATCAGCTGATAAGCGGGCACATGCGCAGAGACAGCAGGCCCTGCCCTGAAGTCACCTGGGGTCCTTTTAAGGAGAAAGGTGGGGAATGAATGAATGAATGAATGAGGTGGAGGGGGACAAGGCAGCAGGAGAGGTGGCAGGACCAGGTAGAGAGGCATCGGGGGCCAGCAGGAAGAGGGCGGAGGGGGGCATCCATTTTGCCGAAACACAATGAAGCGCTGAGCGGAAAAAAGTTTGCCGTTTTGTTTTGCAAAGCGGCTTGCATGAACTGAACCACAAACCAGCCCATTTCATGTGGGTATTTTTAATTACAGTATTTGTAATTTGTTTCCTGCCCATCTCTAGGGATGAGATGCCTTGGTTTGGGCAAGTGAGATTGCCCTGCTCCATGGAGGTGTGGCAGCAGAGATCAGCGGTGTCCGGGCTCATTAAGAAAGACAGGATGTGCAGCCGCCGCCCCCCCCCCCAGTTCACGGCTATGCGCTGTCCTGGCTTTCAGGCTCCTGCGTATCTTTTCACACCTCAACTTGCTAATCCCTGGCAGTTATTCAAGGCATGGTCACAAACAATTGCAAGGCTTCACGGGAGTCTTAAAAGGGCACGATCCGACATCGAAGAGGTTGTGTTTGTGGTCCTTTTTTTAATTTCCCATAACTTTGCTCTTCATGCAGATCTTCTGACGCCTCCAACTAGAATGGGAGAACTTTTAACAATAAAGATCAGTGCATTGGTATGCACTGTATTGCTAGGGTGGCGCCTCCAGGGCGCATATATGTGAGGTCAATCGGTATTCTGTGAAGTCACCGAGTAGGAGAAAGCAAATGGTACTTCAGCCTTGGGTTAAAAGTAGTCTTTAGGGATAAGTCTGTAGTGACGTGGCATTTGGACATAAACTCCATAAAGAGATACCATCACAGTCTCAAAAATACCTTTGTGCCACAGCGATGTAGGGGGGTAAGCTCTGGATCACACCCATGTCCAGTTCTCATGTCCATTTCCTTAAATAGAAATGGCTTGCATATGGTATTTTGAGGATAATTGGCTGATATGTCCCTGAAGCTTAATATTAATGATCTTAGAACTGCAGAGCTGGAAGGGACCCTCTGGATCGTCACGTCTAGCCCCTGTCAAGGAGTCAAAGGGGGGGGGGGATTAATCTCCCAACCTTTGGCTCCACAGCGAGAGACCCAAAGCCCCTGAGATATCCAGCAGTTTTTAGCAGCCGGGCAGAAAGTACTGCTGGCAATCCACTGATCGGCATGGAATGGGACCAAGGCCTTCTATCTGGGGTCCCATCACTCCCTTTTTAAAAATTGCCAACGGGACATGTCCCTTTCTGTTTATCCCCTCATGTCAATCTTCACGTCCTGTTTTGGCTTGCAGCATATATTCCGACGAAGAGCAGGAATACGCGGCGGAGGAGTGGGAGTACGAGCGACGGAGGAAGAAGAAGGGAAGGGGCCTTGCGTGGCAGCTGGACGAGACCCGGTGCCTCCTGGCCATCTGGGGCGAACAACGCGTGCAGGAGCAGCTGAGGTCCAGCCACCGCAACTTGGACACCTTCGTGGCCATCTCCAGGGCCATGAAACGCCGGGGGTTCAGGCGTTCCCCTCTCGAGTGCCGGTGCAAAACGAAATCCTTGCGCCGACTGTACAAAAACGCCGTGGAGCACAATTCCAAGCCGGGAAATAGTCCCCAAAGAATCCCCTACTTCGAGGAGCTGCACAGGATCCTGGAAAGAGACGCCAGTGCGGATCCTCCTAGATCGACCGACAGCCGTGACTCCCCCAACGGCCTCCCTGACCAAAGTCCTCAGAAGGCAACCGGGAGGACCGTCCCCGTGATGGACTCCCTCCCTGTCGAATCGGGAGGTAGGGCTGTCCATTTTCAGACGCTGCAGTGAGAGGGGAAGGGAAGTGTGGTTCGTCATCCCAATCTCTTCTGGGTGACATTTAGTCTACCTAAAGTATTTTCTCCCATTTTAACATTCACTGAGACTAGCGGAGAAGCGTAGCACAGGATGAAGGCGAACCAGTGCTTTTGAGCTGCCCCATTGTTGTTGTTGTTTTAATTTTAGTTTTATTATTTTCCTCCTTTCTCCTCATAAGGGAACGAGGGGTGGCTCACAATAGAACTATGATCCGTCTGGATCATTCGGTCCAGCCCCTGTCATTATTGTACTAATTAGGCGGGGGGGAAATAGATATTTTTCAAGAGAGGCCAGTGCTGTCTATCTTACATCATTCGTGAAGTGTAGAAATCTAAACCTTGGGTGTCCCATGTTTTTCACCAGCTGCACCAAGACCACCGGGAGCCGGTGCTGGGGACGTTGTTGTTGTATTGCAAGGGATGGAAGAGGCAGATGGGGGTAAAGGAGCTCCACCCGCAGAGTCAGGCCTCGCTCCTGACCCTGGTAAGCCCCTGGTGTGATCCTGCTGCTCGTCCTCCACTCTGGCAGCTGATTTATTTTTTTCCCCATGTCCTGAATTCTGAAGCCCACACACAGCCGGGCAAAACGTGATGGCGATTCCCGTCGTTGCCGTTTCAGGGGAAGGCCCATCATCCACATCCACTGCCGGCCATCATTCAATCCGTTTTGAGAGTGATTCCGCTCCTGCTGTGGGTAAGTCCTTCCAGCAGCTTTGATGTCTCTGTGGGGTTGCGTCGCATTCCCCATGCAGGCTCAAGGGGGTCGGTTGTGTTGTGACGAAACAACACACCGCCACGTCTCAATGTGTTTAACCAGTTCAGCGGGATAAACAGTTCAGCGCTAAATGTTCTCGTTTCTGTCCTTAATACATGTATGGAAATGAAGATGAGCCCAATGGTCCTTGTTCCGCTGTCAACTTGAATATGAAGAATATAATCTTGGGTCCTTATGGAAACGGGATACCTTAATACTTTTTTGGTGGTAAAATAGGGTGCTCTGTTTGCTGCGTTGTACCCCTACACCAAAGGAGCGCTGTCTGCCATCTTATTTGTCCCAAAGCTAATCATTCCACTTTCAGTGGATGGTTTGAAGCAGCTCGTGTCCTCCTGATTGGTGTTTGCATGCTCAGTCTATTTGATTTCTCCTAGTAGTGGCCAAATACACAGAGAGAGAGAGAGAGAGAGGGAGGGAGAGAGAGAGAGAGAGAGAGAGAAATTCCCTGAAAATAAGACAGGGTCAAAATGCATCAGGGCTTATTTTCAAGGGATGTTTTTTTTTTTTCATGTACAACAATCTACATTTATTCAAATACAGCCTTGTCATCTTCTTCTGGTTGCTGCACAAGGGTGGAGGGCAAGGTTTCACTTAACTGGGGCTTATTTTTGGAGTAGGGTTTTATATTACAAGCATCCTGAAAAAATCATACTAGGGCTTATTTTCAGGTTAGGGCTTATTTTCCAGGAAACAGGGTGTGGGTTTGTGTATATATATTCCAGTGATAATTGTAACAAGCTCCCTCCCCACCCCTTTTTTTCCAGATCGCACAGTTCCAAACCCCACTGTGTGTTTATCTCCCGTGGTCCTCCTGACCCCCCATGTGAACAGACTAAAAGAAGGTGGCAGAGAAAGACTAGAAGATTGTGCAGCTCAAGGAGCCAACCCATCAAGTCCGATCAGTCCCGGGCACAAATTGAGAGGTTTCATTGGGACTCTAGGGAGAACGATACATCTCTCAGAAGATTGAATCTGTCTTTCCAGGGGTTGGAATCAAGCCAGAGCTTATAGGCACTGTTTTGATCGAACGTGAAGCGGGGGATGAGTCCAGTTACGGATCTAACCCAAAAAAAACCACACCTCTGACTGTCACACCCTTGCGAACCTTTGATTACCTTTGTAAGTCTTTTGAGAAGATCTGTTAGTGGACGACGCAGAAGACTTGCTGGGGAGACAGTATCCTAAGCCTTTCCAGGTCCTGGGGCATTCATTGAGAGAGAAAACAGCAGGTTTTTAAAGGACTGGTGTATAGCTCAGTGGTTGAGACATCAGGCTGCGGAGCCAGAGGTTGGGAGTTCGATTCCCCACTGTGTCTCCTTGACAGGGTTGGACTAGATGACCCAGAGGGTCCCTTCGAGCTCTGCAGTTCTAAGATGAGAATTAAAGTTGTGGAAAAGAAAATGGGAGCCATTCCCCAGAGAAGAAAAGGAGGGTCACCGTTAAGGGACTTCCCAGGGGTGACCGTGAGAGCCAGTGTCATGTAAGGTGAGACTGGAACTCAAAGAGACGTAGGGAGGGTCACCAGGGGTGACTTGTGAGAGCCAGTGTCATATAAGGTGAGACTGGAACTCAAAGAGACGTAGGGTTCAAATCTGTGCTTGGCCATAAGGAACCCAGTGGAGGATGGTAAGGGTAAATATGTCCCATGGAAACCCTATTTGGGTCCCCATAAGTTGGACTCCACTTCATGGGACATAACAGACATACGGGTAGTTGCATTTCAGTCCCAAAGAAGGGCAAACGTGTAAGCCTCAGTGGAGCTAAGAACGGCTGCAGTATTTTTTTTCAGGGAGTTTGAAGGAAACCAGGAAGAATAGCACGGAGAGTGGAGTGGTGCCACAGTCTCCTTCAGAGTTTGGAAGGAACCCTTTTCCCAAGCCGAACGGATGTTACACAAGGCCCTCGTAACCCCGCGCGTTCCTTCTGTCGAGGAAGACAGAAGGCAGAGCGAGTCCAGCCAAAGGAGAATGGTCGTATCCCATGCAGCAGGAAAGGAGATCCCAAATCCCAACCATCCTACACGGGGCAAGAGAAGTACCAAGACCGTGGAGATCCTTCCCCCCCAGCTTTGTAGCAGGGAGTAGAAGCCAGGGATCCCCCCCCCCCGAGCAAGAGCAAGCATGCAATATGTAGTGAGTTGCTGCTCTCCTTTGATGAAGGTGTCTTACCCAATGTGTGAGCCTCTTTCTGGTGTGTAAAAGGGAGGGGGGTACCGTGCCATGTCATGGCTCCCAAGAATCCAAATAAAGCATTTTTCCTTCAAGAGTGGATGCGTCTTGTCTTTTTCTCCCAGCGTGGGTTGGTGCAGGGTGGAGTGGGCAGATCCGAAGCCAGCGGGCAGTATCTGTTCTAAGGGATTTTGCACAAACTGTATAGAACTGTAATGTAATTTTAGTAGGCAGATTGGGACAGTGGAGGACTTAAAATGGCTCCCGTCATCACTGGTGAATATACCATGCCATGTCATGGCTCCCAGGAATCCAAATAAAGCATTTTTTCCTTCAAGAGTGGATGCGTCCTGTTTTTTTCTCCCAGCCTGGGTTGGTGCAGGGTGGAGTGGGCAGATCCGAAGCCAGTGGGCAGTGTCTGCTCTAAGGGATTTTGCGCAAACCGTAGAGAACTGTAATGTAATTTTAGTAGGCAGATTGGGACAGTGGAGCACTTAAAATGGCTCCCGCCATCACTGGTGAATATGCATGAAGTGCTGGAAAGCTCAGGGTTTAAGGCCTCTGGCCACAGAGCCAGACATTGAGAGTTCAGTTCCCCACAGGGGCCGGAACCAGTGATCTGTAGGGTCCCTTCCAGCTCTGCAGTTCTAAGATTATTATAATTACCTCCACTTTTTGATAGAATATTGGTTGAGTCTCTGGTTGTGAGTGTAAAGCTCTGAATATATTGCCTGTATCTGTTGATACAAGAATGTTCAGGAACATAGGCCTCTTTTTTCAGATGCATGGGGTGACAACCTGTTGCTTAATGTAGTAAGTGGTACTGGAGTAGGAGGATTGAATCTATGGGGCTGCTCTAGAGGAGACTATAGTGTAGCAAGTCACTACTGGAGTAGGACCACTTAAATCGTTGGAATTTATGGAATCACTGAATCCTCACTGATTCAGTGGGCCTACTCAATTCATGTTGGTTGCTTCGCAGACACTGTCCAGCCATCTCATCCTCGGTCGTCCCCTTCTCCTCTTGCCATCACACTTTCCCAACATCAGGGTCTTTTCCAGGGAGTCTTTTCTTCTCATTAGATGGCCAAAGTACTGGAGCCTCAGCTTCAGGATCTGTCCTTCCAGTGAGCACTCAGGCTTGATTTCCTTTAGAATTGATAGGTTTGTTCTCCTTGCAGTCCAGGGGATTCTCAAGAGTCTCCTCCAGCACCACAATTCAAAGGCATCAATTCTTCGGCGGTTTGCTTTCTTTATGGTCCAGCTCTCGCTTCCATACATCACGACAGGAAAAACCATAGCTTTGACTATTCGGACTTTTGTTGGCAAGGTGATGTCTCTGCTTTTTAAGATGTGGTTGAGATTTGTCATCACTTTCCTCCCAAGAAGCAGGTGACTTTTAATTTTGTGGCTGCTGTCTCCACCTGCTTGTATGGGACGTGGTGGCGCTGTGGGCTAAACTGCAGAAGCCTGTGCTGCAGAGT